TGTGGATTGCATCTGTGGACTAAAATCAAGATGGAAGGGGAAAGCATCCTGTAGCTGTTTGTTGTTCAGATGGCTTTTAAATCTTTTAAAGGATTGTTAAAAGGTGTAATTATCTCATGGTGGTTTTATTTCACAAAAATGAAATAGTGAATTCAGTTTGATTTTATTCTGCCTTGGTTTTGTTTTGTGTGTGTGTGTGTGTGATCAAAGCTTGTTTTGTACACTTAGCTTTGCTTTTTAGTTTTATTTATATTTCTTAGAAGTCTTTCAAATTTAATATGGCTCATTATGGCTTCATGTCTTATTAGTACCCCCTATAAATGTCTAGCCACCTATTTAGTTGACTGAAATATTCTAAATAGGATGAGCAAGTTCCAGATCAGTTAGTTCATAAAAACTTATTTAAATAAATAACTCTTGATGTATTCTGGTCACCACAAGAATAATTATACTGCCAAAATCAACAGTAAAATACAGACAATAAAACAATTTAACATGAATAGGAAATAAATGAAATAAAAGGAAATAAATGGAAAGTGAATTAAATATCCATATTCTAAGCTGGATATTTTATGGCTTTTTTCCCCTCATCACTACATAAGAAGACAGCAGACTAGCAATAAAGAGAGAGATCTAACAGATGTTCTACAGCAAAAGGCTTCATCAGTTTATTTCTCATGATCCTATTAACATGATGAGCTGATTGTCCATTTGTTAAAATTAAAATTAAGTGATTTTGTAAGAATAAGCAAGAAAGAAAAAAGAAAACTCATGGACACGGACAACGGTGGTGTGTGATTGTGGGAGGGAAGGAGGTGGGGGAGGAAGAGGGTATGGGGGATAATAGTGATGGAAAGAATTAAGTTGAATTTTAAAAGAAGAATAAAGTTTTTTCTCTGCTTTTAAGAAAAAGAAAAAATATCACAATGTTCACTTTTCAGCTACATAAGACTTGCATTTCTCTCAACTCATGTTTTTTAGGCTTTGAAGCTTAATTTGTTGTTGTTATGATTTTTGTACTACGTGGTTCTCTGCACAAAATATGCTGGCATATTTCAAGAGTTTATGAATATAAGCAGTGAATGACATCTTCAAAACATAGTGAACCTACAGGTGTTTATTTAGCACTGGCTTTGTTACATCAAACCCATGGTGAAGTGTTAAGACTTTATACTGTATGTAGAGGTGATATACTAAGTGCCACAGGAACTTGAATAGTTAACATTAACTCCACGTTTACTGTGTAGCCAGCTCTGTGCTAAGTGCTCTTCAGTCCTGTGAGGTAGGGTAGGTACAGTACCGTTATCCCCCTTTCACAAGTGATGACATTGGCACAAATAAGTCATTTGTTAAAAGTCACAGCCAACCAAGTAAACAATGAACACAGGACTTTTAAAAGTTAATATAATGTCCTCCATTTGCTTTTTTTCACTCAGCAATCTAGCAACATTCCCCTGTGTTTTTATGGATCACCTAACTTCTAATGATTATAGGTATTTCCTGGTGTAGGTGCATCATAGTGTATGTGGCCATCCCATTCCCATTCGGTGGACACAGGTTGTCTGCTTTCTCGCTGTTACAGATGATGCTGTGCAAATATCACTGGTTATGAGCCTTCCACATGTGTTCTGTGTTCCTTTTGTTAATCCTCACTTGAGGATATTGTTTCCATTGCTTTTCAGGGAGAGTGGAAGGGAGGGAGAGAGAGCAAGAGAGAAACATCAGTGTGGGAGAGGCACATCGATTGGTTGCCCCCCACATGAGCCCCGACCGGGGCCAGGGATCGAGCCTACAACTGAGTGCATGCCCTTGGCCAGAATAGAACCCAGGACCCTTCAGCCCAGGGGCCGACACTCTAGCCACTGAGCCAAACCAGCTAGAGCTGTGTGACAGATTCTTGATAGTAGAATTATTGCTCAGAGTTTGTCTTTTAAATGTTTATAGGCTAAGTTATTATGCTTAAATTACTCTCCAAAGAGTGGTACCAATCTTTATATACCCCTGGTTCTCCCATTTAGCCACATTATTTTTCTTTTGCAAACATCAGATATTTTTAGCTTAAAAAATTTTTACCAGTCTGAAAGGTGAAAAAATAGTGTGTAATTAAAAATTTTTATTTTCCTTACTACCAATAAGATTGAACACATTTTTATAAATATTAATTCTGATTTTTAAAAATGTGGGTTAATTACATATTTTGCCCATTTTCTTTTCTTGTTGAATTACACAAGCTCGCCCTGGCTGGTGTGGCTCAGTTGGTTAGAGCATCGTCCTGTACACGGAAAGGTTTTGGGTTCAATTCCCGGTGAGAACGCATGCCGAGGCTGGGTGTTTGGTCCCTGGTCAGGGCCTGTTTGGGAAGGCAACCCATTGATATTTTCCTCTCTCACTCTCTCCTTTCCCTTCCTCCCTCCCTTTCTAAAAATCAGTGGGAAAACTGTCTTTGGGTGAGCATTAACAACAACAACAAAATGCTTAAAAAAAGGCCAGTAAGCATGTCCTCAGGTGAGGACTGAAAGAAAAAAAATTACATGAGCTTGTATATGGAAATTTGCCCATTTTATATATTGCTAATATTTTCTCATTTGTCATCTCATTTGTCTCATTTCTCATTTTGTCATCTCATTTGTCTTATTTATTTATTCATTTTTATTGAAGTTTAATTGCCATATAACATTAGTTTCAGGTACAACATAATGATTCAGTATTTTACCAATGGTCACCTCAGTAAGTCTAGTTGACATCTGACACCATACATAGTTACAAAATTTTTTTCTTTTGATGAGAACTTTTAAAGTCTCTTATCTTTGAATTTATTTATGGTGTCTGTTGCCGTCTAGGCTTTTATGTTGTCTTTGCTGTTACTCCTTTGTGATTTCAAACAGATTTGATAATTTACTTTCCCTGCTTAAAAAACCTTCAGTTACTTCCCGTTGAGAGGCTGTATAATAGTGTTTGAGGATGTGGAATGTAGATATTTTGCTGTTTGAAACCTAGTTCTTTTATTAGCTGTGGGACCCTGAGTAGGTCAGGTGCTGTTCTGGGCCTGTTTCCTCATGATGATGCTCACTTTGTGGAATTATTGGGAATATTAATGGGTTAACACGTTTGTTTAGGACAGTGCTGAGCACATTGTACATCCTGAGTAAATATTCTCTGCTGCTATTCCTTCTTTTCTTGTTCAGTTTTGTGCCATTTTCCCTGTTGGTTCCTGTGCTGCAGCCACAAGGGCCTTCCCCTGTCAGTGCCCCCCCACCGTAGAGCCTCGGTGTGTCTTGTTCCCCTGCTGGGAAGAGTCTTTTCCTTCTCTCCCTTTTGCCTGACTGCTGTTTCCCCTTTAGTCTCAGCTTAAATACCTCCCCCCCCCACCCCCCAGGAATGCTGTCAGTGACCTCTCAGTTTAGGTTAGGTCTACCATTATGATTTTTCTTAGCACCCACTGCTATTTCTTCATAGTACTTTAAATAATTATTTTAAATTGTTGGCGTAATTTGTCTGCCCCCTGTTGAAAACAAGCTTCATGAAAGCAGGAACCATGTCTCGCTTTACCTGTATCCTGTAGAATACTGAATGGTTGGTCATGAGCTGGTGTTTGCTAAATGTGGGGAGTTAATGAATTAGTAGGTGGAATGGTAAAATTTGAATGATTTGGGCTTAGAGTATAAAGATAAACTGAGAGAAGAGAACATATTTAGAGGGTTTAAATTTTACTGTTAAGTTTCTATTTAGTTCCTATCTGAAAGTGTGGGTTCAGTGCTTATGTTGTATGATATGATTGGGATAAGTAGCAGTTATCTCAAATGCGATATTCATAATTTTAATAGTTAAGACATTCTCTGTGCTCATTATGAAATACAATTTTAAAATCTGAAAAAGATCTCATACCCATTTTACAGATTAAAAATTGACATAATATGGTCTATATAAGATTGATAGTGATCTGTATGTAGAGCTGGAACTAGAACCTGGATATCCCTGTTATCTACCTGAAGCTGTTGTGCTTTAGGTAGCTTATACTTTTTCAAGGAATATATTAAAATTTTTCTTAGTGCTTAAAGTTTTTTCATGAGAATTGATTACTGGGGGCTCTAATACAAATTTAAAATCTTTTTGAGGTATATAGAGTTCCTTGATCCTGTAGAATATCACACCCTGCAGCTGTGGCTGTTGAGACCTATCCCTCTCATAGTTTTCTGTATTGTTGTCCTTATGGTTGGTTAGTTTACATCATTCCTTCCGGTAGAAGCTCCTGGTCCCCCTTTTATTTCCTTTTTATAACCTATTAGGCATATGCAAAGGCAATATCTTAGATCGTTTTACATGTATATAAAGCAAGATTAAATAGATTCATCCATGCTACAACATGGATGAATTTCAGAAACACACTGAGTGAAAGAAGCCAGAAGCAAGAGACCACATATTGTGTGACTCCATTTATATGAAATGTGCAGCAAAGTCAAAATCTCTAGAAACAGAAAGCAGATTAATGGTTGCCTGAGGCTAGGGAATGGAAGGGGGAGGAACTGCAAGTAAAAATGAAGTTTCTTCTCAGAGTAATGGAAGTATTCTAAAATTAGATTACAGTGATGGTTACAAAACTCTGCAGATTTACTAAAATCTATTGAATTATCCACTTAAAATGGTAAATTTTGATAGGTGAATTATATTCCAATAAAACTTTTAAAAAAGAATAAATGGGTTCAGAGCTTATTTTGGAGGGGTTCTCTTTTATAATCGTAGACTAATATAGTTGATTCTTTTTGGTTCTGCATAATATTTTAGATAAATGGAATGGGAAACTAAAAAAGGTAATATACTATATCGTGAATATTACTCATTAAGTAAGACATCATTAAAAGGTAACCTCCCTGCCCCCTGCCGCTCCCCAGAAATTCATTACAAATTAGAGTTTTTGTGGATAGGAATCATGGTGCTAAGTATTAGAATTTAAGTTTCAAGGGTAGTGATTCATATATATGTTAATTTCTTGTGATTTTTAGATATCAAGATCTCGATAGCATTCTCTCTTCACATACACACACACATACAGAGTCTTCAAAATTAGAAAAGGTATTGATTTTTTCCCTCTAATCTCATCTGTTCTGCCAGTATATTTTTGTTTTATCTGCCCTCACAACCCACTGGAGTCCCACATCTTATGAATGAGTAAACACACTTGAGCTTCAGGCTATTTATGTGTTCTTTTTTTATTTTTAGCACTTTCATTTATTTGGACCCTTGGATGCCCATTGATGGATGCTTGAGACCTGCAAGTAATCTTCAGATCATAGCAGAACTGTAAGGCCTGTCCTTTGTATGGGAAGGAGATAGTCCCTGTGCTGTGGAAATGAACGGGGAGCAGCAGCTTGATGCAGGTATTGGTTTTGGTGAGCAGAATTCATTCTTCAGAGTGCAGAATTATATTACCTTCCTGTGTTACATTGTCTGACTTCTCTAACACTAAAAAGGAAGCTCTTCAAAGGTACGAGTTGTCTTTCTCTGTACCTGGCAGAGAACCTGGTACTAGGGGGTACTCATAATGCTTCCTGGAAAAGTAAATAATTTTTATGAACGGACTTCTTTTTTGAAAAAACAAAATCTTAATTTTTATAATTGCTTTTGAATTCTTTTGAAATAATTACATATTCATAGGGAGTTGCAAAGATAGTCCTGCTAGGTACCATGTACCCATCACCAGTTTCTACCTTTAGTTACATCTCATATAAGTATAGTACAGTGTAAAAGCCAAGAAATTGACATTTGGAAAAAGTATTTAATTCTGTGTCATTTTACCACGTGTAGATTCCTGTAACCACCACCTCAGTTAAGATGCGGAACTACTCCATCACCACAAAGAACTCCTCTGTTCTATCCCTTCATACTTACACTACCTTCTTTCGCCCAGCCTTCCCTAACCCAGGCAACCATTAGTCTGTTCTCCATCTCTGTAATTTTGTCATTTCAGGAATGTTACATGCATAGAACCACATAGTATGTGACTTTTTGAGGTTGGCTTTTTCACTAAAATAATGCCCTTGACCCCTGGCCTGTGTGGCTCAGTGGTTGGAGGATCTGTGTGTGCACCGAAGGGCGTGAGTTCGATTCTTTGTCAAGGGCATGTACCTGGGTTGCAGGTTCCATCCCCAGCCCAGTTAGGGCGCGTGAGGGAGGGAACCAATCGATGTGTCTCTCTCACATCGATGTTTCTCTGTTTCTCTCTCTCTTTCACTCCCTCCCTCCCTTCCACTCTCTCTAAAATTAATGGAAAAAATGTCCTTGGGTGAGAATTAACAACAAAATTAAAATAATGCCCTTGAGATCCATCCGGATTCTTGCAAATATCAATATTTTGTTCCCTTTTATTGCTGAGCAGTGTTCCATGGATAATACTACAGTTTGGTTAACTATTCATCTGTTGTTGTACATTCTGGTTGCTTCCAGCTTTTGGTTATTAAAAATAAAGCTGCTTGAGCAATAGTATACATAATATTTCATTTTCCTGGGGTAAATTTCTAGGAGCACAATTGTGGGATCATATGTTTAATAAAGAAACTGCCAAACTACTTTCCAGAGTGGTTATACCTTTTTACATTCTCACCAACAATGTATGAGAGAGCTAGGTTCTTTATACTTTCACTGTCATTTGGTATTTCGCTATTTTTTATTTAACTCATTCTGATAGGCATCTAGTATTGACAGCTTATCCTCATCCTTAATTTGCATTTTCCTAATGGCTAGTGATGTTGAATATGTGCTTATTTGACATCCCTGTATCTTCTTTAGTACAGTGTCTTCATGTCTTTGGGTCATTTATTTTGTTTTTCTGCTTTTTTGTTAATCCTTACTCGATATTTTTTCCATTTCTTTTTAGAGAGAACGAAAAGGAGGGAGGGAAGTGGAGCAGTGGAGAGAGAGAGAGAAAGGGAGGGAGGGAGGGAGAGAGCAACATCAATGTAAGAGAGACACATTGCTTGCCTCCTGCAGGAGCCCCAACCATGGCCGGGGATCAAACCCATAACCCAGGTCACGTGCCCTTGAGTGGAAATCTAACCCTAGACCCTTTGGTGCTAGGGCCAGTGCTCTAAGCACTGGCCAGGACTGTTTGTATGCTTTTTAATTAACAATGTTTTCTTTAACTATTTACGTTTTTAAAAAACAATTGAGGTATTTTTCTTTTTTGCGATATAATTCACATGCCATAAATAATTCACCGGTACAGAGTGTACAGTTCAGTGGCTTTTAGCATATTCACAGAGTTTTGTGACCATCACTACTATTTCTAAAACATTTTCATCACCCCAAAAAGAAACCATTAACAGTCATTTCTTGCTCCATTCAGCCTCTGGCAACCACCATTAATCTACTTTCTGTCTCTATGGATTTACCTATTTCTGCTTCCTTTTGATTAATGTTTACATGGTCTTTTTCATTCTTGTACTTTCAACCTGCCTATATCATTATATTTGAAGTAAGTTTCTTGTAACAGCACATAATTTTTTTTAAAATTTCAGTCTTACACTTCATATGTTTAGACCTTCTACATTTAATGTAATTATTGATAAGTTAGGGCTCAAGTATGCTATTTTTTTTCATTTGTTTTCTGTTTTTCCCCCCCTGCCTTTCTGTAGGTAACTTGAACATTGTTTTAGAATTTCATTTAGATTTGTCTGTAGTGTTTTTGAGTGTATGTCTTTGTATAGCTTTTTAGTGGCTGCTCTAGCTAGTACATTGTACGTACATAACTTGTCAGCCTGCTGGTATAGCCATTTTATTGGTTTGAGTGACGTGTAGAAACTTTACCTACTTTTATATGTCTTTACCTTATAATTGTCATAAATATTTGCTTTGCATATTTCGAGAACCATATCAGATATTAAAATTTTTGTTTCAACTTTCAAACATAATTTAGAAAACTCAAAAGACGAGAAGGAAAAAATATTTTAAAATATCTTTCCATTGTTTTTTACTCCTTCCTGATTTTCCAAGATTCAAGATTCCCTTCTGATGTTCCATTTCTGTTTGTAAAATTTCCTTTAGCCATTTTTTTTAGAGTAGGTCTACTGGTGATAAAGTTTCCCTTCATCAGGACAGTGTCTTGATTTCCCCATATAAGACTGAAGGATATTTTTGCTGGATATAGAAAAAGTTCTTTTCTTTCATTTCTTGAAAAATGTTGTACCTTGTGGCCTCCATGGTCTCTGATGAGAAATCTGCTGTCATTGGGATCCCTTCTCCCCCACCTCGCTTAATAGAAGTATTGTTTCTCTTGATGCTTTCAAGATATTTTTATTGTCTTTAGTTTTTGGAAGTTTGACTTCAGTATATAGTTGCACAGATTTCCTTTGGTTTATCTTGTTTGGGATTTTCTTAGCTTCTTGCCAAATTTGGAAAATTTTCAGCCTTTATTTCTTCAAATACTTTTTCAGCTTTGTTCTCTTTCTCTTCTTCTGGGACTCTGATGTCTTTTGTTGTTCCAAACCTTCATGAGGCTCTTTTCATTTTTTTTCAGTGTTTTCTCCCTGCTGTTTATTAATTTTTTAAATTATATTTTAATTGACTTTATTGGGCTGACATTGGTTAATAAAATTATATAGGTTTCAAGTGTACAATTCTATAAAACATCATCTGTATATTGTATTGTGTGCTCACCACCCCAAGTCAAGTCTCCTTCCGTCACCATTTATCTCCCCTCTACCCTCTTCAACTTCCCCCACCCCCCTAGCCCTCTGGTAATCTCCATACTGTTGTCTGTGTCTGAGTTGTTTTTTTCTCTTTGCTTAAATCATTCACCCTTCTCACTTAGCCCCCAAAACCCTCCCCTCTGACATCTGTCAGTCTGTTCTCTGTATCCAAGAGTCTGTCTCCATTTTATTAGTTTATTTTGTTCATTAGAATCCACATATAAGTGAAATCATATGGTATTTGTCTTTCTCTGATTGGCTTATTTCAGTTAGCCTAAAACTCCCCAGGTCTATCCATACAGTTGCAAAAGGTAAGATTTCCTTCTTTTTTATGGGCGAGTAGTATTCCATTGTGTAAATATATGACAGCTTTTTTATCCACTCATTTATTGATGGGCACTTGGGCTGCTTCCAAATCTTGGCTATGCAAATATTGCTGCAGTGAATATAGGAGTGCATATATTCTTTTTAATTAGTGTTTCGAGTTTCTTTGGATATATGCCCAGAGGTGGAATTGCTGGGTTATAAGGTTGGTTCCATTTTTAATTTTTTGAGGAAACTCCTTACTGCTTTCCACAGTGGCTGTACCAATCTGCATTCCCACCAACAGTGCACGAAGGGTCTCTTTTCTCCACATCTTCACCAACACTTGTTGTTTGTTGATTTGTTGATGATAGCCATTCTGATAGCTGTGAGGTGATATCTCATTTGCATTTGTGATTTTAATTTGCATTTCTCTGATGATCAGTGACGTAGAGCATTTTTTCATATGTCTATTGTTTTCTCTGTTGTTTAAATTGGGTATTTTTTCTTGCTCTGTCTTTAATGTTAGTGTTTTTCCCCCTCTGTCCTCCCTGTACTGCTGTGGAGCTTACCCATGGATTTTTTTTGTGTGTACTATATTTTCAGTTCAAAACTTTCCATTTTGAGCTGAGGAGGGCTGAGGGATGGGAATAGCCCCAACCCAAAATGCTACAACCCTGCTGTTCTGTTCAAACTGTGGTTCAGTAGCTTATCTTGAATAGATGCTTTTCAGTTTGTTCTGTTCCTTCAGTTAACTTCAGAACTTTGAAATGGTTGATTTTCATTATTTAGCCAGCATTTTTGTTGTTCTTCTGGGAGAGTGGGTTTACTGAGGTACTCACTCTACCATTTATCAGGTTGATTTGTTTTCTTGCTTTAAATGTTATTAACTCATGATACATATGGAGAGAGGGAGAGGGAGAGGGGGAGAGAGAATCCATTGCTGTTATCATTCATGTGATGATCAAATTGCCCCATTCTACAGCAGTGAGAGTTCTTTCACATTGGTTCCTGCGTTCTTTTGATGTGATGTCATATATTTTTTTTATGTCTTAATTTATCTTTATTGTTGAAAATATTACAAATGTCCCCCTTTCCCCCCCCATTGATCTCCTCCACCCTGCACCCCCTCCTCTCCAGGCCTTCTCCACACTATTGTCTGTTTCCATGGGCTATGCATATATGCATATATGTTCTTAGGTGAATCTCTCTCCACTCCCCACCCACCCTTGCCTTCCCTCTGAGATTTGTCAGACTGTTCCATGCTTCTGTGTCTCTGGATCTATTTTGTTCATTGGTTTATTTTGTTCATAAGATTCTACATATCAGTAAGATCATATGATACTTGTCTTTCTCTGATTGGCTTATTTCACTTAGNCTTTTGTTCATTGGTTTGTTTTGTTCATAAGATTCTACATATCAGTAAGATCATGTGATACTTGTCTTTCTCTGATTGGCTTATTTCACTTAGCACAATAGTCTCCGGGTCCCACCATGCTGTCTCAAAGGTATAAGGGATCCTTCTTTTTCACAGCTGCATAGTATTCCATGTGTAAATGTCTGAGAACATGCTTGATATGATTGTCATGTATCTTTGATAGTTCTAATCCTAGCTGTATGGCATTGTAAGGTTCCCAGGCACCTAAATATACAATCTGCCATTTCTCTAAGGAGCTTTTTTTTTTTTTTTTTTAAAAGTGGACATGGTATTTAGAGACCACAGTCTAGTGCCGGGGTGCTCATTGATACTAGGTTGTCATTTCTTCTAGGCCTTACTTATTCCCTAGCCATAGCTAGGAAATACACATTTTTTGAAGAGAAAAGACAATCAGATGGCTTCATCTGATAGGTATAATTTTAGTTTAAAATTACAGGGTTCTTATTTCTTTGATTTTTATGCTTGTGTCTCTTCTTTTGGAAGCATGTTGTTTCATAATGAAGATAATATCATTATTTATTTTTACCCTATAATACTGGTATGATTTTTTTCAAACCAACAATACCAACAGTCCAAATATCAATAAGGTAACAGTGCAGTTTAAGAATTTTTCTGATTTTTGTCTTTAAATATATTGCACTGGGGCTTGTGGTCAGAATATTGTATTTTAATATGACTTACAGGAATCCTGTTTTATTTTTATAGCTTTGCTACCAGCAGTTAGGCATATTTGTTTCAGATCATTTTCAATTTTTATTATTTTTTAAAATTTAAATGTTTCTTAATCATATAAAGTATCTACATAGTTATTAAATGAAAACTTTATAACATCATTCCCACTTTAAACCTGATACCATTCACCCTTTTTATTATTATTCTTATACTAACTAGTTTTATTATTTATTTCTACTGTTCATTTAAAACTATAAACAAATATGTGTATGTACATATATATTTATTTTCATACCTCTATCATCTTATACAAAAGTAGAGATACAATAAAAACTGCTTTGCAGTTTAGTTTCACTTAATATATACTGGAGATTATCCAGTATGTAGAAATTGTTCTCATTCCTTTTTGTAACTGTATAGTATTGGACGTATAAACCATAGATTGTTCAGACAGTTTCCTATTGATGGACATTGGGTTGTTTCCAGTCTTGGTATTACAAGTAGTGCTGCAATGAATAGCTTTGTATATATGTCTTTTTGTATTTTTGCCAGCATATCTTTGGAATAGATTCCTAGAAGTGGGATTGCTGGATCAAAAGGTAAATACATCTATCATTTTGCTAGTTTGCAAAGTTTTCTTTCACCAGGGTTGTATCATTATGCTTTACCTGCTTTAACTATAGCCTCACCATAGAGTATATTGTCAAACTTTGGAATTTTTTCCAATGTGATATTTCAGTGTAGTTTTAATTTGCATTTCTCTTAGAAGTGAGTAGATTTGCATATGTTCCATATGTTTAAGGACCTTTGCATTTCTTTTTGATAAATTCTCTTTTCCTGTATTTTGTTCATTTTTCTATTCGATCATTAACCTTGTTTCTTCCCAGTTTTTTAGTAGTTTTTAATGTATGACAGATTTTAGTTGCTTAGTTCATTATTTTTATTGTTATTTTTATTTTTAAATTAGCATGCTGTTTCACTGACTAGGGTCCTTGCTAAGGACCATGAATGGCCAGCTCTGCTATATCTTAGTAATGGAAATTGACTTTATACCGGCTCATACTTCTAGGATATTCCCAACGTAGTCCTTGTTTCTTGTTCTATTTCTAATGAAAATTTTCAAATACATAAAAATGAATGGGAAACAATATAAGAACACCCACATAGCTACCATCATTGTCTTATATTTGTTTCCATTTTTCTATTGTGGTAAAATATCCATTATACACAGTTTACCATTTTAACCATTTTTTTAAAAATTGTACTTGTTCAGTACATTCATATTGTTGTGCAACCATTACCATAGTCCATCCCCAGAACATTTTTCATTTTCTCAAACTGAAGCTCTACACTCATTAAGCAGTAACTCCCCCTTTCTCCTCTCCCCACAGTTTTGGAAACCACCATTATTCTTTCTGTCTCTATGAATTTGACTACTCCAGCTACTTCTTATAAGTGGAATCATACAGTATTTGTCTTTTTGCAGGTGGCTTATTTCACTTTGCATAATGTTCTCTAGGTTCATCCATGTTGTATTATGTGTCAGAATTTCTTTCCTTTTTAAAAGACTAAATAATACTCCATTGGATAAATGTATCACATTTTGTTTAATTTCTTCTTCTGTTGGTGGATACTTGGGTTGCTTCCACCTTTTGGTTATTGTGACTATTGCTGCTATGAACATTTGTGTACAATTATCTGTTTGAATCTCTGCTTTCACTTCTTTTGGGTATTATTCCCAGAAGTAGAATTGGTGGATCCTGTGGTAACTGTTTTTTTTTAAATCCTTACTTGGGGATATTTTCTCCATTGCTTTTTTCAGAGAGTGTGGAAGGGAGAGAGAGAAAAACACTGATATGAGAGAGACACATGGATTGGTTGCCCCCTGCATGCACCCTGACCAGAGCCGGGGATCAAACCTGCAAACCAGGTACATGCCCTTGACTGGGAATCAAACCAATGACCCTTTGGTGTTCAGGCCAACACTCTAACCACTTAGCCACACAAACCAGGGGTATTTTCTGCTTTTTTTTTTTTTATAATAGCCATACTGTGGGTATGAGGTGGTATCTTGTAGTTTTGATTTGGATTTCCCTAATTTCCCTAAATAATGTTTTTGTGTGTTGTTTCCATTTTTAAAAAGAAATAAGAGACAACACAGTTTATGCCTCTTTAGTACTTCTCTTCTAATCCTATCTTCTCCTCTCCATCCCTAAAGGTAACACTGTTGAAATTGATGTATTTTCTTCCCATCCTTGTTTTTATACTCTTACTAATATGCGTGTATTTATAAACGTACTACAAAGTTTTGTTTTAAAGCCTAAATTGTATCTTCTTGTGTTTTTCATTCTGTTTCTGCCATTTTTACTTGGTGTTTTTTTCGAGATTTATCTATGTCAATATTACTTCATTGATTTTTAACTGCTATATAGTAGTACTCCATTGTACGATTGCCATAGTTTATCTTTTCTGCTGATTGCTCTTTCTGTTGCTATTGCAAACAGTGCTGTGGTGAGCATACCTTTATTTGCCTCGTTGTGTTTGCGTGAAGCACAGGCTCCCCTAGGGTGTACTCATTCAGCAGCTGTTTATTGCAAATGTGCTAGTGCCAGGCATTGTTTTGGGCAGCAGGGATACACCAGTGAACAAAACCCTGCTCTTAGGGGGCTTATGTGCATTGTAATGATTGGATTATGGAATGTTTGAATCTTTGCTCACTCAACGAAGATCTATTGAGTCTGCTATGCCAGAGATATAGGAGTGACCAAAACAAAGTTCTTGTCTTCATAAAGCTTGCTATCTAATGGGGAAGGTAAGAAGATGTGGTATACAGTCAAATAGGAATGAATGCCTTGAAGCAGAGCCTGGGGTTTTCTACTGCATTTACTGATGGAAGGCCTTTTTGGAGAGGAGACAGCATGCCACACTTCTATGCTGTTGAGATTGATTGACAATCAGTGCACTAGGGGAACCTACCATAAAGCCAATTGGCTTGTTGTGAAGTAAATTGTAAGTTAGGATTATTGCTAAGTTTATGTTTGTGTACCTTGAGTTTTCTTTAATTGGAGTTCACCTGTTTTTGTTTTGTTTTATTTTGTTTTTAATTCCAGATGCTGGATCTGGTGTAGAAGAAGTGGAATTAAGCTGGGAAGATTATCTAGAAGAGACAGGGGCCACAGCAGTTCCCTATGGATCTTTTAAACATGTGAGCAGTAACTGTATTGCTTTACTGTTTATGTCTGTTTCCTGACATACTAAACCATCATTAGAGAGCTTGGAGTTGTTATAAGTTGGGGTGCTTGAAAGAACTTGAGTGCTTTTTCCTTTTTTCTCCCTCTGCTACTTACATTAAGAAAACTTGATTTACTCTTAAAATTATTTTTTGGTTTTGTGTATTTTCTGCCACTTAATACAGTCTTTTTGACTGGTCATGAATATTCCTATATTTTTGTCAGAAAACCTTTTTATAAGTTGAAGGTAATGGGGTTTTTTTTGCACTTTATGACATTTTATGACTATTGGTTTGCTCATTGAAAGTAATTTCAATAATACTATTTGCTTTCTCTCACATTGAGCAGAAACAGAGTAATATCATCCAGTGAGTCACATGAGTGGCCTGTGCAGCATAATTTTATGCCTTAACTGCCCAGTTTAATGCTTCATCAATGGACAACATATTTACCTGTGTAATGCCTTTAGAATGTAAGAAAATACTCCAAATTTTATTAATAATTTATATTTAGACCTAGTGTTATTAACCTGGTCACCCTTTACTCCCTCTTAAAAGACACAAAATTATTGATTCTAAAACTGCTTATTTCATGTTTGTCTTAGTCTGCTCAGGAGGCCATAACAAAATAACACAGACTGGGTAGTTTAAACAACAGAAGTTTATTTCCTTCCAGTTCTGGAGATTAGAATTCTGAGATTAGGGTGCCAGCATCATCAGTTTCTGGTGAGGACTCTCTTCCTGCTTTGCAGATGTCCACCTTCTTGCTCTGTCCTCACATGGGGAAATATGAGAGAGCAGGCTCTCTGGTATCTCTTCTTATAAGGACACCAATCCTGTTGGATCAGGGCTCTACTCCTATGGCCTCACTTGATCTTTACTGCCTTCATAAAGTTTCTCTCTCAAAATATAGGTTCATTGGGAGCTGGGATTTGAACATATATAATTTGGGGAAAGGCAATTCAGTCTATAGCAGTGTCCAACAGGACATAGTTCCTTTGTTCTAGGATTTGCAAAGATACTCAGTATTGTCTACGATTTTGTGAAGTGGGACTGTATTCTTTTAGGTGTCTTTATAAGCTAAAGAGTGCTGCTGTTTTCAGTTCTCATGTAAAAACTCAGCCATAGTAGTTGTCATATTTTTCTGCCGTTTGAAGATGATATGCCTGGGTATAGGTATTTTTGGTTTTTATCCTGCTTGCTGTTCTCTGAGCTTCTTGGATCTGTGGTTTGGTATCTTATCATTGATTTTGGGACATCTCAGTGATTATTGCTTTAAATATTTCTTCTGTTCCTTTCTTCTCCTAGTATTCCCATTATGTGTTACACTTGTAATTATACCATAGTTCTTTGATACTGTTTTATGTTTTTCATTCCTTTCAATTTTGTTTCTGTTGACATTTTTTTCTAGCTTACTGATTCTTCCTTGCCTGAGCCCAGTTTCTTGATGAACCCAGCAAAACCAGTCTTAATTTCTTTTACAGTGTTTGTGGGTTCTAGCATTTCCTTTTGTTTTTTTCTTGCGTTTCTATTTTTCTGTTTACATTACCCATCTGTTCTTGCATGGTCTCCTTTTTTTCTATTTGAGATTTGCTTTTTTAGTGTAGTAATTTAGCTGTAAATTTCCCTTTTAGCACTGCTTTCACTACCTCTCATAAATTTTGATATGTTGTATTTTTGTTACTTGTCTCAAGGTATTTTCTAATTTCCCGTGTGATTTTTTTCTTGAACCATCAGTTCTCCCTTATCTGTGGTTTCAATGTCCAGTTTTAGTTACCTGCAGTCAACTGTAGTCCAAAAACATCAGTTTAAAAATTCCAGAAACAAACAAGTTTTATTTGTTTTTATATTATTATTATTATTTTTCCATAAGTTTTAACTTGCATGCTGTTCTGAGTAGCATGATGAAGTTTTGTGCTGTCCTGAACCATTGCACTCCGCTCCGCCCTGGACATGAGTCATCACTTTGTCCAGCTGTGTACGCTCCTGCCTTTCAGTCACTTAGCTGTCTTGGTTATCAATTGATTGTCAGTATCGCAGTGCTTGTGTTCAAGTAATCCTTATTTTACTTAATTATGCCACATTCTTTAATTTATTACAGTATATTGTTATAATTATTCTATTTTAGCATTGTTGTTAATCTCTTACTATGCCTAACTTAGAAATTAAACTTTATTATAGGTATGTATGTACAGAAAAAAGAACATAGATATACAGGGTTTGGCACTGCCTGTGGGTTCAGGCATCCACTGTAGGCCTTGGAATATATCCTTCGTGGATAATGGGGATGGCCCTGTATTGGTTGTTCAGAGTGTGTTTAATCTCCACATATTTGTGAATTTCCTAGTTTTCTGTCTGTTACTATATTTCAGTTTTATTCCATTGTGACCAGAAAAGATGATTTGATTTCAGTCTTTTAGTATTTGAGACTTGTCTTGTGGCCTAACATTCTGGCCTGTCCTAGAGGATGTTGCGTCTGAGAAGAATGTCTGTTCTGCTGTTGCTGAGTGAAGTGTCCTATTAATGTCTGTTAGCTCTCATTGGTGTAGTCTTGTTCAAATCCTCTGCTTCCTTTCTGTCTGGTGGTTCTGTCCATTATCGATTGTAGGGTACCAGTTTAGAGATCAGCATAACCTTGATATCAAACCTAACGTGAATATTTTAGGAAAGGAAAATTACAGAGCAGTGTCACTCATGAAGACTGATGCATAAACATCTGCATACAAAGTGATAGCACACCGAATGTAGCTGTATTTAAAAAGGATAATGCATTAATAACAAGTTGATTTTTCCAGGAATGCAAGAGGATTTAACATTTAAAAATCAACCAGCATAATAATAGTAGCAAAATAAAGGAGAAAAATCATATTATCATCTCAATATATAAAGAAAAATTATTGATAAAATTCCATACCCACCATAATAAAACTTCTAGCAAACCATAGATGGTATTTTTTTTTTTTTAACTTTATAAAGATATCTACAAAAAAAAGCTATAGAAAAATTTTATTAATGGTAATATAGCTCATGCTTTCTTTCTAATATGGAATAAGACAAAGATACTGGTTAACACGACTTTTGTTTGATTTTTGTATAGAGGGTCTAGCCATTAAAATTAGGTTAAAAAAACACATAATAAAATGTATAAAGATTAGGAAGGAAGAAAAAATGTCATTTTTGCAGCTAAAAATAATTTACAGACATACTAATTAATGAGTAATTTCAGCAAGATTATTAGCTACAAGGTAGCCTCAAAATTATATTATATTTCTATATACCAGCAACAAACAAAAATGAAAACTGAAAGATTTGATTTACAATAGATAAAAAAAAGTCAAATGGCTAGGAATAAATGTAACAAATATTTGCAAATAAACTTAAAACTATTATTGATATAAATTAAAATGAAGGAATATGCCTTGTTTATGTAATGGAAGACTCACTATGTAAAGATGTCAGTTCTCTAAACAGATCTGCTGCTAACCCAAGATTTACTTCAACCCAAATCAAATACACTCACCCCCCCGAAAAAAAATCAAGGTAGAAATTGACAAGCTTATTCTAAAGTTTATGTGAACTATAAAGGAGCAAGGATAGCCGGACAAAGCTAAAAAATAAGATGAGAAGACTTGCTGTACTAGATATCAAAGTTGATTAAGACAGTGAAATGCTACTCTAAGGAGAAACAAATCAGAAACATCTACATCTGTAGGGATGTTGTATAGGGATGATTTATAACAAAGGTGGCAATTTACAGTGGTGAAGAAAGGTAATAGGTCAATTGTATATGCATTTAGAAAGAAATAAAACCTGACCCCTACCAGTATCATACACAGAGATTAATTCAAGGTGGACATTAGTCCTAAATATGAAAGTCTTCTAGAAAATAATATAGTATATCTTTATGACCTGTAGGAGTAGGGAAAATTTTGTTTTAAGATACAGAAAAAGCACTCTTTAAAGGAGAAACTTTTTAAAGGAGAAACATTGATAAATCAGTCTGTATTAAAATTATGAATTTCTATTCCTCAACATCGTCAAGAAAGTGAGAAAATATTTGTAATGTAAGTAACTGACAAAGAACTGATACCCAAAATATACATTCAATAAAAAATACTCAATAAAAAAATTAGACAAGAAACTTAGATATTTTCCAAAAGAAGAAATATAAACAGTTAATAAATATAAAAGTTCCCAACTTTATTAATTAGGAAATTAAGATTAAAATCATGAGGTATACTACACACCTTCCAAAATGGTTAAAAATGAAAAAGACAGAAAACACAAAAATGCTGGTTAGAATGTTAGAGCAAAAGGATTTTTGCTACTGGGAGAGTAAATTGGTACGACCACTTTGTAAAGCAGTTTGACTGTCTGTTATAGAAATCTATGTATGTATGCACCAAGAGACATACAAAACTATTCATATTGTCATGTTAGTATTCTTTTTTTTTGGTCAATCCTCACCTGAGGATATTTTTTCCATTGAGTTTTACAGAGAATGGAAGGAAGGGAGGAAGGGGGGGAGGGGGAGAAAGAGAGAAACATTGATGTGAGAGAGACACATCCATTGGTTGCCTCCTGAATGTGCCCCAAGTGGGGCAGGGATTGAACCTGCAACCCAGGTATGTGCCCTTGACCAGGAATTGAACCCAAGATCCTTCTGTGCAACAGCCAATACTCTAACCTAGGAGTGGGGAACGTCCCGCCCTGCCAACGCAATAGCAGGTGAGACTTGAAAATCAGTAAGTCTAGGAGCTTTTTTCATAGCTAATTTTTATTATTATTATTTTTTAAAAGTTCTCACCAGAGGATATTTTTTCCCCAATTGTTTTTCAGAGAGAGAGGAAGGGAGAGAGGGGGAGAGAGAGAAAGAGAGGGAGAAGCATCAATGTGAGAGAGACACATCAATTGGTTGCCTTCTGCTTGTGCGTGCCGACTGGGGCCAGGGATTGAGCCTGCCATCAAGATATGTGCCCTTTGCCGAAATCGAACCCGGGACCCTTTAGTCCACAGGCCAACCCTCTAACCACTGATCCAAACTGGCTAGGGTGCATAGCTAATTTTTAAGTTGATAATTTTGTATGGCCTGCGAATGATGTTATTAACATCCAAATGGCCCTTGGCAGAAAAAAGGTTCCCCACCCCTGCTCTAATCACTGTAAGCATACCTGGTAGGGCCATGGCAGTATTCTTTATAGTCTTCCAAAACTGAGAACTACCCAAAATGCTTACTATTTAGTAGCATTATAAAGGATAAATTGTGGCACATTTGTAAAAATGGAATATTATACAGCAGCGAAAAATAATAAAATACTGTTACATGGCCCAGCCGGCATGGCTGAGTGGCTGAGCATTGACCTATGATCCAGGAGATGGCTGTTTGATTCCTGGTCAGAGCACATTCCAGGTTGTGAGCTCAATCCCCAGTAGGGGGCGTGCAGGAGGCAGCTGATCAGTGACTTTCATCACTGATGTTTCTCTCTCTCTCTCCCCCTCCCCCTTCCTCTCTCTGAAATCAATAAAGACATATTTTAAAAATAAATAAGTAAAATACTGTTACATGCAATAGCATTTATAAGTCTCATAAGCTATGCTGGGAAAGAGAAACTTCACACAGAAAAACATTCATACTGCATAATTCTAACAGAGTGTGAAAACACAGGCACTGTTAAACCATAGGATAGTGATTACCATTTAGGAGTAAAACAGTGGGAGGAATTTTTACACAGAATGTGGGACTTTCCCTCTTTGGCTCTCTTCTTTCCAAGATTCCTCCTCTTTTCCAGTGGTGGTGGTTACCACATTGTATTTAGTGGTCAGGGTCCATAGTCTCCTACAATGCTTGACAGTTCCTCATGCTTTATTGTCTTTCATGGCCTTGATACTTTTGAAGAGTATATTATTTATCAGTTTTTTTATAGAATATTCCTCGATTTGGGTTATATTTTCCCCATGAATGATTAGCTTGAGTTTATGCAGATTTGGCAAAAACGTCATAAAAATTATTTTGTGCTTTTCTTGTTTTATGATACCAAGGGTATATGCTACTGATGTTTTCACACTGTTGATGTTAACTTTGATCAGTTAGTTAGGGTGGTTTCTGCCAGATTTCTTTATTGTAATGTTACTGTTTTCCCATTGCATTTAATAAGAATCTTGCAAGGAGAACCATTGAGATTATGTACATTGTCATACTCGTCATAGTCATTTTAGCATTGACCCATGATTCTTACCTGCAATGTTTATTTCTGTGGTGCTTGTCTAAAGGTGATTTTCTGTTTCCATCATTTTCCCCTGTTTTTATGAATTGGCCTTCTACTCTAAGGAAGATCTGTCCCCTCTTCTGTTAATTATTTTTTATTTTTATAAATATATCTTTATTGATTTCAGAGAGAGGAAGGGAGAGAGAGAGAGAGAGAGAGAGAGAGAGAAACATCAATGACGAGAGAGTCATCATTGATCGGCTGCCTCCTGCAAGCCCCTGACTGGGGATCGAGCCCGCAACCCGGGCATGTGCCCCGATGGGGAATCAAACCCCAATCTCCTGGATCCTAGGTCGATGCTCAGTTGCTGAGCCACGCCTAGCCGGGCTGTTAATTATTTCTAACAATACGAACTCATGGGTATCATTGTAAATCTATGGGTTATAATCCACTACTTTTGTTATTTTATTGCTCACACTGTCTCACATGTGACCATTTGGAGATACTTCTTGTTGACTCCCATACCCTTTCCAAATGTCCCCATCATTTTTGGAGCATTCCCATACTTTCTGGCATTACAAGATATTCCAGGCTCCTACTGTGTGTTCCTCAACCCAGAATTGGGATCAGTTATTTCTCTACTGAGCCCTTGTTCTTTTTTATTGGAGGATGCTATTTAGAAAACAACATTTGGAAACTAATTTCACTATTTCTACTGAGTATCATTCTAGTTTCTGTTAATTTACAGAAATACATGTATATTAACACATACGTACATACATACGTACACATGCATCTATACTTCTTTCTGTATCTCTCTTTCAATTTGTCTTTCTGTCTGTCGTCATAACCTCATTCTGATGCCTTGATTCCAGTTCAGCACAAGGTTCATCCTCTAATCCCCCTTCCTTGTTTTTACTTCTTTCTCCCCCAGTGGGAAACCTGTCTCTGATCATCTGTAACATGTCGATTTATTTAATCTTAGTATACACACGCAATACTAGAATTGCTAACCATACCTTTGTGACCCTATGACTTATCTCAATTAGGACACTTTTTGAGAGAGAAAAGGGGCATTATTAATTAATTTTCAAGGACAGCAGGTGTGAACATAGACCATTTCAGGGAAACTGGGAGCTATAGCTTCCTGCATATGGTACATATTATACTAATTTTTTATTATTATATCTTATTTTTGTCCATTCTCTTCTCTAGAGTCATAAATTTTCTCTAGAATGATCTGGAAATCACTCTTGAAAACTAATGTGTCAAAAGCTATTAAAATGGTAAACATTTAGTGATGTATACACCTAATAGAAAACATTGTCTGTGATCATAATAGACTGCTGTATGAAAGTACTGAGTTCTGTTGAGATGGAACTGAACAGCATTGCTGTTCCTTGTTTTGTTTGGATCACTCCTGTAAGTTAGGATTGGAATTTCTCAGGTTTCCCTTGAGAAGATTTTATTGCATTTAGTGCTTCAGAATTGTATAAGTTTTTTTAAAAAAATATCAGCCAAAGAAATACTCATTTGAGGTACTTGTCTAGCAGTTAATAATAATTCCCTGTTCAGGTGGACACACGTTTGCAAAATGGATTTGCTCCTGGGATGAAATTGGAGGTGATTGTGAAAAAAGATCCTGAAACCTACTGGGTTGCCACCATCATTACCACCTGTGAGCAGCTGCTGCTCCTCCGCTACGACGGCTATGGGGAGGACCGGAGAGCGGACTTCTGGTGTGACATCAGGAAGGCCGACCTCTTCCCCATTGGGTGGTGTGAGCAGAATAAGAAGACGCTTGAAGCCCCGGAAGGTAATAAAATACTCTGGTTGTGACACAGCAGGATTTGCTGTAAGAAATCTTGTCCATAACCGTGAGGTTTTCAGTCTCCCCTGCACATAGGGTTTTCTGAATTTCTTGGGTTAGTGTCTTGAAGGAAAATATTTATAAGAAATAATGCACATTTTCTTATCTTTTACAGTTATTTTCTGTGCTCCCTAAAGCCTCGTGTTTGTGACACTCACAGGGAGCATCAGCTACTTACCGTTCTGTAGGACTGTGAGGCTCTGAGTTTGAGACTTGTATGTCTGGGTGTCTTTAGGTCCATTGGGCCAGATTGATTCTCTTTTTTGACTTTATTGTCCTCTCTCCTCTAACCCACAAGTGACCTGGTACCTGTGAAGTCTTCAGAAGGACGAAAGCTTTCTTCCAGAAAAGAACCATACTGGAGCTAGAATCCAAACTCGCAAGATAGAGAACAGTACAAAAGAAAGAAGGGCCATATAGAGGTGGAGGAGGGGAACAGAGAGCAGACTTAAGAAAATACTAGACCTTATATGTTTTTCTTTCAGCTTCTTATTTTGATATAATTTCAGATTTACAGAAAAGTTGCAAAAATAGCATAGAAAATTCTTGGAGACTTTGCCTAAATGTTGACATTTTGACAAATTTACTTTATCCTCCCTTCCTCCTTCCCTTCCGCCTCTTTCCCTCCCTCAAACCACACGCACACACACGCACATGCATGCACATGTGTGCGCGCACACACACACCCCTGCACCTGCACACACATGCAGTACACACACACGCACATGCATGCACATGTGTGCGCGCACACACACACCCCTGCACCTGCACACACATGCAGTACCTGACTGTTTAGTCAGGGGCACTGACCTCTTTTCCCTTAGATTGTCAAATAAAAAGTAACAGCCAACACAACATTAGCCATCCAGTGTGAATGAATCAAAACTATACCTATTTTTGTTAGATCAGCAAAACATACATTTTGTGGTGTGCCACAGAATTTTAGTAATGAGTTTATGTGTGCCATGAGATGAAAAAAGTTATCTTAAGGTAATCAAACAGTTGAAGAGAATTTTTTCTTTATAAAAGTAGTATATTGCTTAGTAAACAAAGAACGGGTCATAGAAAATTATCATGGGTAGCCCCCAATGAGTAAATGTATCTATGTAGTGACTCTTAAAAACCTCTGACATCACAAAAGGAGAGACAAACAGACTGAATATACCTCTTGATGGGAAGATGCAACCCCACTTGTGGGGCACCCCCCCACCCCACGAGTCAAACCTAAATTTGATTAAGCCTCTGGCTCTCAACACTGATTTATAGAAAATACAGAGGTCAGTAGAACAACTGGTTACCACCAGGAGGCAACCAGTAAAAGCAGATTCAAAAAAACTCTATATAGGATAGATAAAAGGCTGAGTCTCTAAAGAAATGTGCTTCAAGAAGAAGAGAGAGACTGGGGGCTTTGAGAGAGGAAAAGGAACATACAGATTAAGAGAGATTTAGGTGATAAACATCAACCTTTTGCAATATATGGACCTCATTTGGATCCTGATTGAGCAAATTGAAAAAAATCATTTATGAGACATTTGGGAAAACTTGAACATGGACTCTATATTTGATATTAAGGAATTATTGCTAATTTTTTAAGGAGTATGGTTATGTACTCCTTATGAAAGAAAAAAGTTACTTTCAGAAATATATACTGAGATTATATTGGATGACATGTGATATCAGGAATTGGTTGGGTGGGGATGGAATGTGTGAGGTTATAGATCAGAGGTTGGCAGAGCATCTGAAAAGGACCAGATAGTAAATATTTCAGGCTTTACTAGCCATGTAGTTTCTGTAACAGTTGCCTACCTCTACCTTTGCAGCGTGAAAGCAGCCACAGACAGCTGTGTTCCAGTAAAACTTTATTTACAAAATAAACAACAGGCAGAATTTAGCCCACTTCTTGTAGTTTGCCAGCTCCTTCAGATCTAGGTGGAAAGATTGACCATGAAGTGACAGTTTTTGGATCTAGGGTACAAGAGAATTCATTATACTATTTTCTCTATTTTTATATATATTTGAAAATTCCCATTATACAAAATAAACTAGATACCTTTTGGATAAATTATAGTAACGGAGTTGGGGTCTGTTTGCCATGTTTTGCATACAACTCTTATTAAACTTATTAATCAGGAGGTAGCTCTGTCTAGGAGGATTTTTATCTTAAGCTGTCAAAGAAGCAATTGTTGGACTCTTAGGTATTAAAATGACATATGCACCTCTAAACCATTTTCAGTGGTTTAATTTCTCTGTATTCTGTTTAGTTTCTCTGTGTTCCATGGCTATTGTGAGTAATTACTCATTTTATTCCCTCATTTAGGCATCAGAGATAAAGTGTCTGATTGGGATGAGTTCCTGCGGCAGACTCTGACCGGAGCATGTAGTCCTCCTGTTCCGCTGCTAGAGGGCGTGAGTATTCCTGCTTGCAGGATCAGTGTGGAAAACCCTTCCAGACTTTAGTGATATTTATTTCCTCTGTAAGGAATCTTAAAATTGGTTGCTTGTTTACTGCCCCAAGGCAAATATACATTATTACTAAAGACATAGGCATGGGTATTGGGAGGTTTAAACTTACCCTCAGAGGTTACAAACTGGTGGCTTGCTCAGTGCCTAAAGAATTCTGAATTAGTTGCTAACATATAAAAACCTAGTTTTCCAGATTCTTGTATGCTCCTGGAAAATGTGTTTTGGGGCTCTCACTCTAACTGAGCAGGTGTTGATTCTACTTGAGGATGGGCATTTGTAACTCCTACACCAGGTGACTTGAGACTCCCCATTTTTCCGCTCAGAAGACAGTAAATCTGTAGTACTTCTACCACCTACCTGCTTTCAGCAATCCTTTCTGGTGTAGGTTTTGAGCTTGTTAGTGATTATAGATTTCTTGTTTTTATGAAGTCAGTTTATTGGTTATGACATTTCTGAATTATATTTTGTTACTTTCTTTGTGGCATATGTGAAATGTGGTATATGAAGGTTCCAGTTTCTCTACATCCTTGACAGCACTTGTTACTCTCTTTTTGGTTGTAGCTATCCTAGTGAGTGTAAAGTAGTACCTCATTTTGATTTAGGGAAATCACTCATTTTCCTAGTGACTAATAATGTCAAGCATCTTTTTAACTGCTTATTTGCAATTTGTGTATCTCTTTTTTGAGAAATGTCTTTGCCTTTATTTATATATTTATTTATGTATTTATGTATTTATTTATTTATTTATACTCCTCCCCCAAGGATACGTTTTTACTCTTTTGTTTTTTGGGGCAGGGGGAGAGAAACATCGATGTGAGAGAGACATCCATCTGTTGCCTCCCATATGTGCCCTAATCAGGGATTGAACCCCAACATGGGTATGTGCTCTGACTGGGAATCAAGCCTGCAGCCTTTTGCTGTACCGGACGACACTCCTACCAATGGAGCCACCCGGCCAGGACGCTTGCTTTTAAATTGGGTTAATATCTTTTGAGTATTGAGTTGTAAGAGTTTCTTATAAACTCTAGTTGCAAGTCCAGATCAGATAGATGATTTCAAAATATTATCTCCAATTCTGTGGGTTATCTTTTCACTTTCTTGATATTATTTGCAGCACAGAAATTTTTTTATTTTGATGTAGTCTAATTTATCTGTTTTTTCTTTTTTGGCTTGTGCTTTTGGTGTCATATCTAGGAAGGCTTTGCTTTAACCCAGGGTCATGAAGATTTCCTCTTATATTTTCCTCTAAGTTTTTTTACTTTTAGCTCTTCTATTTAATTCTATGATCTATTTACATTCCCTCGTAAAACTCGGTGAACGTTCTCTTTCAAGCTAATCTTTATATTGTATACTCTGACTCATTTCATTATGTTTAGCCAGGACTTGGCACAAACTAAACACTCAGTAAAATTTGAACGAATGGGTAAAATCATGTACCAGTGAATTACTAAATATCGTACTCTACATTGACTTTGATTATGCCATTCTAATCTTTAGCTGTGAATGTGTTCCTCCACTTGTTCCTATGCTCTTTTGCATAATAAGAATATGTGTCACAGTGCAAGTCTTGTTAGGAAAAATGTAAGTTTGAATATTAAGAAATGGTTATGTGATAATGGAATCAGCATTCCTTTTCATTCTGTATTGTAGCTTTTAATATATATCTAGAGAGTGAGTATTAAACTTTTCTATCAGTGTAATCAGAACACTGTGTTCATAAGAACATTGTGAAATGAGTAAAAAATCAGAAACAACTAAAATGCTATCACTAGATAAGTGGATAAATTACCTCCCATTTGTAATACAGAATAGCAATAAAACAATTTCAAAAGATGAGGAAAATTTGTATATGCTATTATAAAAAGATAGCTATGATATATTAATTGACAAATACAAATTGAAAAGCAGTATACAGTGCTCCTATTTTTTAAAAAAGAGAGAGAATCAGACTTGGGTATTAGAAAACACAGTTTCAGAGAGTGTGTGCAAAAGTGATTATTGTGTGTTTTTCTTGAAGGTGGGATTGTGGGGTATTTTGACTTTTGTTTGATTTTTTTTCTTTGATCATATTTGCTTTTACAATTAGACTAATGATGGTACTTTAAAAGTCATTACTAGATGAAACTATGTAACAGCCTTAGAGGTCCAGACCTGTTAGGATAGTTTTGTTGCATTATAGGTAGATTTTTTTTACCCTCACCCAAGAGTATTGTTTCCATTGCTTTTCAGAGAGAGGGGAAGGGAGAGAGAGAAACATTGATGTGAGAGAGACATATTGATTGGTTGCCTCCCACACATGCCCTGACTGGGGCTGGGGATTAAGTCTACAACTGAGGTACGTGCGCTTGGCCAAAATCAAACCCGGGATCCTTCAGTCCACAGGTTGATGCTCTAACCACTGAGCCATACTGGCTAGGGCTAGGTAGAGTTTTATTTGTTTATTTTTTATTTTATTTTTTTAAACATATCTTTATTGATTTCAGAGAGAGGAAAGGAGGGGGAGAGAGAGAGATAGAAACATCAATGATAAGAGAGTCATTGATCGGCTGCCTAGCCCATATCCCGGACATGTGCCCTGACCGGGAATCAAACCCCGATCTCCTGGATCCTAGGTCGATGCTCACCTGCTGAGCCACGCCCTGCCGGGCTAGGTAGATTTTTAAATATATATATATTTTTATTGATTTTAAAGAGAGGAAGGGAGAGGGAGAGAGAGAAACATCAATGATGAGAGAGTGTCATTGATCGGCTGCCTCCTGCACGCCCCCTGCTGGGGATCAAGCCTGAAGCCTGGGCATGTGCCCTGACCAGGAATCAAACCAGAATCTCCCGGATTATAGGTGGATGCTCAACTGCTGAGCCATGCCAGCTGGGCCCAGGTAGACTTTTTTTAAGACAAACATTTTTATATTACCTACAAATAATGCTATAGGTTCTTATATGATATTAGACAATTCATTGTCACTGACTTTGAATGGGTAAAAATATAAAGGCTTATTTGAGGTTATTTAAAACTTGACTTTTTGAAATACTATGTTAACATCTCTTATTTAGTAATTTCTCTTTTTTTACCTACAGCTCCGTAATGGGAGGAATCCTTTAGATCTCATTGCTCCAGGTTCCAGGCTAGAATGTCAAGCTTTCCAAGACTCTCTGAGCACTTGGATTGTTACTGTAGTAGAAAACATTGGTGGACGGCTGAAGCTATGTTATGAAGGACTTGAAAGTTCTGACAATTTCGAACATTGGTTGTATTACTTGGATCCATTTCTTCATCACGTTGGTTGGGCAGCTCAACAGGGATATGAACTTCAGCCCCCATTAGGTGAAGAGTAATATAACATTTTTCTTTTAACTATTACATTACTGTTATATTATGTTCTTATTAATATTTATGAGACTGAGAAAAGCACTATTCCGCATATTGCAAAAGCCTTTGTTATTTGGCATAATAGAGATATTTATTGCAAACAATGTATAAGGAGTTGTTAAACACGTATTTTTCTTTTATTTTTATTGCTTTTGTAATTTGCCACACATACTGATATACATACCTTATAGACTTCTGCTCTACCTCCTGACCTCTTACCAAAATTAAAGAAAAATTCCCTGGGTAGCATTCATATAGGTCTAGGAGTGGGACAGATCTTGGGTTCAAAGCAAATTATTGATTAAGAGATTATAACTGGAGTTACCGTTTAAATCAATTTGCATTTATTACTACATACTCCAATTTGAGTGTTGTGTTATGTTATTTTGTGGACTACAGCAGTCCTTACGATCTCACTGTAGGTATTTCCCCATATTTTACTGCCCAGGCTCCGAGCAGGGGAGACAAAGAGGTGCACGTTCTTTGAGTGAAGGTGGTATAAGTGGGCTTGAACCCTTCCCTTTTCCCAGTGGGAAGTGACTCGTTTACTTATGTGAATGCTTTCAGAATAGTTATTGTGTACATTCTGTCATCATTTAAAGTTACCTGTCTCATTTTACTAAAGCCATCAGACATCTGAAAAACGAAACTGAGTGGAAAGAGATCTTGGCCAAAGTGAAAGAGGAAGAGGAAGAGCCATTACCATCTTACTTATTTAAGGTAAAAACAAGTAGAGTAAAGCAGTTTGCATGAGGTGCAAAGTATAAAATAACCCCAAGAGTCAGTGAGAGTGCTGTGGAGTCTGGAGGAGGGAAGGGGTGTGAAGGCTGGAGTGATGCTCCTCCTTCTCTTCTTCTAAAAATGGTTTAGGTTTTCTCCCAAAGTCCCTCTTAAAGCATTTGGAGTCTTTTCTATTCATAAAACAAAACTTTAAAAATTTTTTTAAAAATTGTGGCTAACACAATATTATTTAGTTTCAGGTGTACAGCATAGTGGTTAGGCATTTATATAACTTACAAAGTGATTCCCCCCCATAAGTCTAGTACCCATCTGACACCACACATAGTTATTACAATATTGTTGATGTTTCATATGCTGTATTCTACATCCCTGTTACTGTTTTATAACTGGCAATTTATATAGCTTAATCCCTTCAAAGTGAAGGGATTTTTTTTTTTTCTACTCTTACCTACATAGTTTTGACTCTTTATCAAATAAACTTGTTTTTCCACCCGGCTGGTGTGGTTCAGCGGTTGAGCATCTACCTATGATCCAGGAGATTGCAGTTCGATTCCTGGTCAGCACACATGCTCGGGTTTCAGGCTCCATCCCCAGTAGGGGCGTGCAGGATGCAGACAATCAGTGACTGTCTCATTTTGATGTTTCTCTCTCTCCCTTCCTCTCTGTCTGAAATCAATAAAAATATATTAAAAATAAACAAACTTATTTTTCCTTCAGGCCGCCTTTGTGTTCAGAATGTAGAGATTTAGGAGTGCGTCCTGTGGTTTTATTCCTGAATAATTTTTTTCAGAGAAGAAAATTATAGGAGTAGGCTATTTACCAGAGGTTGGACATTTCCATTATTTTAATTAATTAAGAGTAGTATTCAGCTATATATGAGTAGAAAATTAATGTGAAAATACTATATTCTTATATTCCCTCTTGGTGTTTACATTTCAGGACAAACAAGTGATTGGTACGCATTCATTCTCTGTAAATATGAAATTGGAAGCTGTGGATCCCTGGTCTCCTTTTGGGATCTCTCCTGCTACAGTTGTTAAGGTAAAGTGGGGGGAACTTTCTTGGTAAGAATTCTCATCAGGATGACTGGTTTAGGAAATTGGTAGTATTTTGATTTCAGGCTCTACTAATCCAACCCATTGTTTTTCCTAAGCTGTGGGGCTAGAATTACTTCTATACAGATTTTGTATTTGTACTGTCCTGTGTTCTATGGCCCACTCCTTCTGAGGTTGGTTGCCCCAGCCAACCAAAGTGTGGGCACCAGAGTAGAGGGGCATGTTTTTTGGGGGGCAGGCCTAGCTATACTAGAGAAAGTTCAACTGGCAGGTGGACCATGGTATCTGAAAAGTACGGAGGTGGGCAGTCGTCAGTGTCCAACCAGGTGCAGGGCCCACTGAGCTGAGGAGATGTGTGGGGAGCAGGTGATTCGTGTCACAGGATCTGCCAGTTGGATTGCTCCAGCCATGGATTCCAGGTCCAGACTTTAATCTTTTGAAAGACTGACAGAAGTAAGGCTCTTGTTAGGAGTAACCACAAGAACTGGGCAGGTTGTCAAGGCCTAGTTACTCAGGTACTAGAACTGAGGTATAAAAGAGAGGATTTCAGTTTAGATACCCATTCACTGAAAGCAGAACCAAAAGTCAAGTACGACTAGAGGAATAGTTGCTTTGATGCTGGGTATCCAAACTATTAAGATTTAAAGTTTCCGTGCCTTGAAAGAAAATTATTTTTAGGTTAGGGAGAGATTCTGGTCCTGCAATGGGTCAGAAGGCCATAACTGTGGAGTCTGAGGGTTGTGGGGCAGTAAGGAGCCAGGGGGGCTTATAAAACCTCTTTGGCATTTGAAACTAGGCTGGGATGTGAAAATCTAACATACTGGTGTAGTTGACTCCTCAGTAAGCCTAAACTGAATTTTGTTTGGAACTGTAATACTTAGATTTTGAATCCAGGTTCTGCTTATTCCTGGCTGTGTAATGTGGGGCAAGTTATTTAACCTCTTTTTTTGGTTACTCCTCACCTGAGGGTATTTTTTCCATTGGCTTTTTGAGAGAGTGGGAGGGAACGGGGGTAGAGAGAAAGAAAGAGAAGGAGACATCAACTGGTTGCCCCTGCACGCTCCCGACCCGGGCTGGGGAATGACCCTGCAACCTAGGTATGTACCCTTGACCAGGAATCGAACTCGTGACCCTTCGGTCCCAGGAGCTGTGCTCGAACCACTGAGCCAAACCAGGCAGGGCTTAACCTCTTTTTACACTTAGTGTCTTTATCTGCAAAATGGGGTTGATAGCGGTGCCTACCTCCTTTAGGTTGTTAGGAAGATTAAAACTGAATTAATCCATGAAAAGCATTTAATTAAACGGTGCCTGGCCCAGATAATGCTTCCTGAGTGTGTGGCACTGTTAGTAATACCACTGTGGCCGTGAGCTTTTTCAATCCTCACCCAAGAATACGTTTCACTGATTTTTAGAGAGAGAGGAAGAGAGAGAGAGAACATCAGTGTGAGAGAGAAGCATCAATCTCCTACCTCCTGCGTGCGCCCCGACCAGGGATCAGCCCTGCAGCCTAGATTGTGCCCTGACTGGGCATCAAACCTGAGACCGTTTTGGTGTAGGGACACACACACACCTGAAACCATTCATCTGTCTTATCAATTAAATTGTGTGTACAGGTTTTTGATGAGAAGTACTTTCTGGTGGAAATGGATGACTTGCGACCAGAGCATCGTACAAGGAGATCCTTTGTGTGCCACGCTGACAGTCCTGGTATTTTCCCTGTGCAGTGGAGTCTGAAGAATGGCTTACATGTCACCCCCCCTCCTGGTATTCATTTGTTCTGTTCTGAATCGTTCACTGGGAGCTTCCCTTTGAAATGAGATTTATCAGACGGCATTACCCAGATTTCTTGTCTTTCTCTCTCTTCATGCCCCAGCCCATCCTTAATATTTGGGAGCCCAAGACAAGTATAAATGAAGCCCCAGATTCCATATATTTACATATTTGAAAGTTATAAATTAAGTTAAGCTACTAAATAAAGCATGTTCTGTCCTATTACCTTGATGAGTGCATCTTCATGACAACCTGGGGTTCCATGCAGGTTCCCTAGTTCCTTCTATCTTGTTTCTGTTGGGAGGTCACAGAGGGATGGGAGCAGTATGTGCAGTGAATGTTGGGAGCTGACTTTTGAGAAGAGACGTTAGAGCCAGAGCTAGGAGGTAGATTATTGGTGATTTTTAGGTTTTTGGGCCTCTTCTTGGAGGGAGACTCTTCAGATTCCAGAGAAAGGTTTATGGTCAAGAGTAGGACATAGAGAGGCTGTAGATAGGAAAGTAGCAGGTCATTTTCTGGTGTTCGAAACTTTGTAAAATATAATATTTGACCCTTTAATCAAGGCTCATAAATATGACTTAGTTGAGCTTGAATGAAATTTTTAATATTTTTTAACTTGGAGTATCTGGAAGTGTCAGACAGTTTTTTGATTTTTCTATCAGCAAACCAGATGGGTTGGCAATCTATATGTCATTTTTTAGTAGGCTCCTGGTAAAGCCCAGCTTTACTCTCTAAATGCTGACTGCTGGAACATGGGGTGGAAGTACTCTGTATTAGCAGGTGTCATAAATTTGGAACCTTTGCCTTCCATTCAGCTTTCATTCATCCAGCAGACATTTATGAGATGTTTGCTGTGAACCAGGCATTGGGTTTGCCACTGGGGAGACAGAAGTGAGTACAACACATCTTCTCCAAGGAACAAATGAGTGTGAACAGTAACAGAGCCTCCAGTTCCTCCTTCATCAGTGGACAAAATGGGAGTGCCTGCTAGTGGTGATGTGGGGAAGGGCACATCCACAAGAGCAAATTCTTGTTTTGCAGGAAGGCTCTGGACATCCCAAATTCTTTATTCTGTCTGCTGCCTTTATGTGAAAACGAAGACTCATGATTAAAGCTATTGGAGCTTTCAGCATTATTATAGACAACTCAACTGTCCTTGCAAATAGAAGGAAAGCAGTGGAATATTTAATTGAAAATGGCAGATAATTTACTGTGAGGAATTGAGGTGGAGTCAAAGGCAGAACATGATACCAGTCTCAGTTGGGCAGAAGAGATGATTGCAGGGGCTGTTTGGCTGTAGGATGGCATAGTCTTGAGTAGCCTGCTATGTGCCTATGAGATGTTAAGCTCTGCAGCAGAGCAGCTCTGACACAGCAGGCCCGGTCCAGCTCCTTGCTCACAGATGCAGAGACTTCTACCAGGAACCTTGGCCGATTTAAGTGGGGAGTTAAGCTCAACTTTTTTTTTCTGAAATGAATTTATGATTCAGGTAATAAGAACATTGAAATTCTGTAGGGCATGAATCTAAGAACCAGTGTCAAGAGTATCATATCTGTAGGAGCTAGGATATGTTTAAGGAAATAGCTTTATGAAAGAAAAAAGTCCTCATTGATTAAATAGTAGTGTTGTCTCGCTTCCTTTAGAGACTTCGTCATAATAGAATTGATAATAAGATTAGACTTATTGGTACAAATCAAATCCAGTTATAACTGTCCTAAATTTTTTGGTAAATTGCCAGTAACTAGTCATAGAAAATACTGCTCAAAATAAAGACCTAGTTTGAAACATGAAAGTTTTAAAATTTATCCAAAGAATTATATTGTCATGTAGTTTGACCATATTTGCTTTATTTTATAAAATTAACAATGCTTTGGATTTACATAGTGTTTTTCTCCCTTGAAAATATCAGAGTTCCCAAATTAACAAAATTAGAAGTTGTGGGTGGACACTTGACAGAGCTGTAAAACTAGGTAGGCTTGTGTGGTGTGAATCATGGTTCTTTTGTCTCCACCTAGGTTACTCAGGCCAGGACTTTGATTGGGCCGACTACCTCAAACAGTGTGGTGCTGAAGCTGCTCCCCAGAGGTGCTTCCCTGAGGTGAGAAGCCCTGACCCCACGTGGCCACTGCTTTAGGACCACTACCTGTCCTTTTTATGATTATTACTCTTAAGTCAGTCCTCTCACTCAACCCAAATAAGCATCTTGTTGATTGTAATAAAATGGTCCAAGGAAAAATCCATTCACTGCAGAAGTTAATTTGTTAATTAGTACTTAAAGTTTATCAGTTTTATTTTTTATTAACTGAAATATTAAATAAAAATTTAGTTTATAATGATTTTTGATGGTTCAATAATATGGAAAACATTAAGTGGAGAAAAATTTCTAAACTTATTTAAAAATACTTTCAAAATAATAATAATAATTTATCAAAATAAAACCATGCACACAGTTTACAAAGCCAAACAGTAATAAAAAGCTTAGACTATAAAACAACAGTTCTCTGTCCTGTCCCTTTCCACAGCCTCCCTTCCCACAAGTAGTCACTTGCTATTCTTACTATTATTGTAATAGTTATATTTCTCATTTCAAAATAACGTGCTGCTGTTTTTTGAATCATTAATTTTAAACATGTCTGTTGGTTCTATATTATGGCAAATAAGCATTTAGCTATTTTACATTGCCTTTCTCCTCTGTCTTACCCCCACCTCTTCTTTCCATTAGAGTTATATTACAATTTTTGGTTAAATCTGAATTAAGTATTTACATTATCATGTACAGTCAGATATTATTCACAGCTGAACACTGCAGTGTTTTATAATTGTTTCCTTTTAAAATTTGTCCTTGTTTTTCGTAGCTTAATTTTCTTTTATTGCTAGTTTTTAAAGAACTTTTTAAAAAATATGTTTTTATTGATTTCAGAGAGAGGAAGGGAGAGGGGGAGAGAGATAGAAACGTCAGTAATGAGTCATTGATCAGCTGCCTCCTGCACGCCCCCTACTGGGGATCAAGCCTGCAATCTGGGCATGTGCCCTGACCAGGAATTGACCCATGACCTCCTGGTTCATAGGCTGACGCTCAACCACTGAGCCACACAGGCTGGGCTTTATTGCTAGTTTTCCCCACACCTTCCAGTAGCCTTTCATAACTATTTACACAAAGGCAATCACATTAGAAAATCTGTCATTCCCCCACTTTATGAAACAGTTTATTTGAAAGGTGGGAGAGACAATAATATATGTAGAAGTTCCCTTATCTGACTCTGTCAGGCATATAATTAGTGGGTTAATTGAAAGTCAGATAAATCAGGGAATCATCTTTTTGATGAAACAATCTATTTTAATTTAAGATGTATAAATATGCATTCATTTGTTAATCTTTTCCCTTGAGTATAGATTGTCATCAAGTGTTCCCTTGAGTCTTTTCTTGCATAAACTATACCTAACATAAACCCTGTGATTTTTTTAGTAGAATGACAGCTTTGATACTTTGAAACAATATGAATGTAAAATTATGCAGCCAACCACTTCTGCAGGTATCTGAAGTTCCACCATTAGCTCATGTTGTTTTGGCTCCATCCACCTGGTAAATGAACCCTGAGTGATTTGATTGTGTGGGACACAAGCACCAGTATCCCTGTGCCTGGGTCATAGTCTCATGTTTGGCGCCAAATACGCATGCAGCTGCCTTGCAGCATTTCCCGGAAGTCTCTTTGGTTCAGCTAGACCTGTGTATTTTCTTTCTAGTTAAAGGGTTTTGTTGTTGTTGTTTTAGTGTAGCGGGGTTAAAATACAATACGTTCTCTAGCCGTGTTTTCTTTGTCATATGTACATTGCCATTCTGATACCCTGATGTAGGAAATCTGACATTTCTAATATTTTTCTTTGAGACATCCCTCTTAGCAACCTCCATTCTCTCTCCCTAGATGGGTTGCTCTCTAGGCTTGCAGGGTAGTTTTAATCCTGGAAACTGCCCTTCAGTGCCACCCGATGAATTGAGACTCTCCTTTCTGTGTGGCCTCCTTTCTTTTTGGTTTACTGTCCTGTTTCAATGGAGCCTGTTTCTCAGTAGCTTCCTGAAATGTTATGCAAGGGAGGTAAATTTTTATAGGCTTTGCATGTTTCACAGTGTCTTCATTCTACTCATTTGATTGATTGGCTCATTGTGGAATTTTAGTTTCAGAAGTTACTTTACTTGAGAGTTTGAAAACATTACTCAGTTGTTTTCTACTTTCCAGTGTTGCTCTACCTTCCAGAGGAGTTGAAAGCCATTCCTATTCTTGACCTTCTGTAGATGACCTGCCTTTGCTTCCTCCCTGGAGGATTATAGAATCGCTCTCACCACGTTTCACAGTGACAAGTTTGTTGTGGCTTGTCTTCATTCATATGCTGGGTTTTCACTGAGCACGTTGTCTCTGGACATTTGTGCCTCTCTCTGTGCTGGGAGGTTCTCTTGAATTTCTTCTTTAATTTCCTTCCATTTTTCTATTTTTCTAGAATTTTAAAATTTTGTATGTTGGGCTTCTGGATGAGACCTTTGCTTTGCTTTTTTTCCTCCTGTTTTCTGTTTCTTAGTCTCTTTGCTTTGCTTGCTGGAAGATTTCCTAAACTTTATCTTTCAACCCTTTTTTAAAAAAAAGTTCACTTAGAGAGAGAGAGGCCCTTCTTTTGAGTTTTTAATTTTTACTATCATGGTTCTGATATCCAGAACTATTTCTATTCTGAATATTTGGTTTTAATAGCATATAATTCTTGTTTTAAGGATGCGATAGTTCCTATCACTAAGAGGATGTCTGTATTCCTGCCTTTTGGGAAGTTTTCTTCTTGCTTCCCCCCCCCCCC